TATGTACTGGATAGATGTAGGGCAGCCCCATCAACTCCACTTTCTGAAGACCCCATAAGTCCATGTTCTGCAGGCAAATAACTATATGGGGGGGGGGGGTTTCAAAAAGTTCACGGAAAAACAGCCTTAATTTTAAATTTCATTTTTCTGTGAACTTTTTGGAAGCCCCCTGGTATTGTGTGTCTTCTCCTGTAAAGCTTTATAGTCTTGAAAACCCTATACATGATCGTTATGAATTGGGTGGCAGTGAGGACTGGGGAAATGTATTCTAAATTCTGCTGGGTTGAATTGTATTCCCTAAAAAGTCATGTTCAATTCAGAACCCCTAGTACCTATGACTGTGACCTTATTTAGAAAAAGGGATTTTATAGATGTAACTGAGGTCCTGAAATGAGATGATTTGGAATTAGAGTAGGCTTTAAATCCAATGATCGGTATCTTTAGAAGAGACAGAAAATGAAAGGACTGTGAAGACTGATGTGTAGATGGAGGCAGAGACTGGAATCACACTGCTGAGAAGTCCAGGAATGCCAAGAACTGCTAGCAGCCACCCCTCCTCAAAAACACTAGATGGACTTGCTATGAGTCAGAACCAATTTGACGGCACTTAAGTTAGGAGAGAGACAAGGAATGGATTCTGCCTTAGAACTTCCATAAGGAACCAACCCAGGCATCTTCAGTTTGAATTTCTGGTCTCCAGAGCAATGAGACAATAAATTTCTTGTTCAAAGCCACTGAATGATTTTAAATCAGGAAAGGTGTGCACCAGGGTTGTATTTTTCACCATATTTATTCATTTTGTATGCTGAGCAAATAACCTGAGAAACTGGATTATATGAACATTGTAGCATTGTTAAATGTCATTTAGTCGGTTCTAACTCATAGCGACCATATACAGGGTTTCCAAGGACTCGATGGCAATTAGCAACAAGGAGTGAAAGGTGGGTTGAAACCATTGACCTTTCGGTTAGCAGTCCAGGACACTTCACATAATAATTGTTGTGTTGTTGTTAAGTGCTGTCAAATTGGTTTCAACTCATAGCAACCCTGTGTAGGGTTTCCGACCTAGTGGTTCCCAGTCCAGTGCTGATCCTATAGTGCCACACCAGGAATCCCACATAATAACAGTAAACACTTAATTTGTGAGCACCTACCAAAAAACCATTCTTATTGAGTTGATTTCTGACTCATGGAGATCCTAGGTGTTACGGAGTAGAACTGTTGCACGGTTTTTGTTTTTTTTGGTGCTAAGCGTAGTGGTTACGAATCGGCAGCCGCAAGGTCAGCAATTCGAAACTACCAGCTGCTCCGTGGGAGAAAGATGAGGCTTTCTGCTCCCATAAAGATTTACAGCCTCAGAAACCCTGTTCAGGGTCGCTATGGG